TATATACATATATATATATATATATATATAAACGTAGGTTTAATTTTTTTTTATTTGTATTTGAACTAAAAGTAAATTTTTCAACAAATTATTAAAAATATTTAAAAAAATTAACAAATTGTTAAGCGTGTGGAGCATGTTTTAGTAGTCTTTAACTCTATAAAAATCTCACTATTTCTCAAAGATTCATATAGAAAAGGGGGGAAGCTATGCAACTTTTTGGTCCCCCAATCCCTCGGTCATATGGATTTTTAAATAACCAACTAGGAGGCAGAAGCATAAGAGAGTTATTCGATTGATGACTAGATTTTATAAAAATATAATTTTTCTAAGCACCATGTGGGACTTCTAAAAAACTTGTTAACCGTCAGATCATGTTGGTTTTTTTATGGTACCCTCAAAATATATTGATCTCCAATTTAAATGGTTGGATCGTTGAAATTAGGTCTGTAGTGAGAGATACTATTATAGAAAAAATGTTGTCTAGTATAAGACTCTTGTTATTTAGCTGCAATGCGAGGCCTCTAGAGAATTCATTAACCGTTGGATCATGTTGAAAATTTGATGATATCTTCTTAATACATTGATCTTTAACTTCAACGGTCAGATTATCAAAATTCCGTCTTTAGCAAGAGATATTATTAGAACAAAAACGCTACCCAACGTAAAACTTTCTAGAAAGGGGAATAAACCGTTCCGGTTTTCGAACGATCCGTTCCAACATTTGGAATGGCCAATTCCAATTTGGGAATGCCTGTTCCACGCCCCCAAATTAGTGTTTTTGAGTTTTTTGGGCCTTCCAAAGCTATCTTGGCCCATTTAGGTGTTCTATTGAGCCCTTAGGGGCCATTTGTGCTACTCTTTTCAGTTGCAGTGCGAGGTCTCTAGAGAATTCGTTAACCGTTGGATCATGCTAAAATTTTGATGATACCTTCTCAATACATTAATCTTTAACTTCAATGGTTAGATCGTAAAAATTATATTTTCAATGAGAGATATTATCAGAGAAAAATGTTGCCCAACGTGTTGCTCCCTCAAGGACTATTTGTCTCGCGTACCTTGGATGAAACTGGGTGTCTACACTTAGGTGTCTTTTTCAGGCTGAGGAGGTAGAGCCACCACCCACAAAGCTACCTACGACCCCCAAAATATATTGATCTCCAATTTAAATGGTTGGATCGTTGAAATTAGGTCTGTAGTGAGAGATACTATTATAGAAAAAATGTTGTCTAGTATAAGACTCTTGTTATTTAGCTGCAATGCGAGGCCTCTACAAGCATTATTTCAAACATATAAGGTTTAGAACAAGATAGAAAACACTTCTTAAGAGTGCATTTCATTTTAGCATTTAAGTGTTACTCACTAACTTGAGCACATTCTCTTCTTCAGGGCTATTTTCATGACTTTCTAATTCAGCAATCAGCATTTGTTGTTTCACTAAGGACTAAAGTTGAAAGTTACCTTTTGGTTTTGGCAATAAGGAACCAATAGTTCTAGTATGCATTCAAGAAGACATAAATTTTATGCAATAATCAAGAAATTATAACCAATAGGTAGATGGGAAAAGTAGATGTTAAATGGTAAAATAGATACTTAGATAGTAACAATGAAACTTACAGTGCATGGTGGAGCACTCTCACTATTCATCAATTGTGGCCAAGTTGGTACAATGCCATCTCTCACAGGTGCTCTTAGGGGCCAAGCACGACCAAACATTCTTTTCCTCACAGGAAAAGGTCTTTCTGTCTCGCCCAACTTCCGGAAGCTAGATGGCAACCTAATATAGGATTCTGTAATCTTCTCTGCCTCTGTGCCATGATAGCACGGTTCTAGAATGTTATATATGTTTATCTCATCAATGTCCTAATATAGCAAGAATCATCAATGAGTTTCAAATTCACTTATAGCTCATTTCTTGCTAGTAATGTTATATAGTTAAATCACCTCATCAACTTTTAGAAGCTTGAGAGAACAATTATCACTTGTTGGATTATAGAAATTCCCATTGCATTCTTTGCTAATCTCCTGCAGCAGCAAGTACAACCGATTAAATGAAACATATTTAGAAGACAAGGCATAGTACGCTTTCAAACAAAAAACAGTCAAGTTAAAACCAAAGATAAAGTTCCAAACTTGCTCTTAAATAGTGCATAATGCTTTTAAAGCCAAAAATATAATACATTGTCAAATGATGAAAGTTGACTTCATTGCAGTCATCCCTAACCCATCAATGGGAACACGAGGGGGTTAAATACTGGGAAGAACTCCACCAATGGGTCTTGAGAAAAACACAAAAGTAATAAAACATTAAAACATTAGATTTATGAATCTTTTATACTTATATATTATTCAATATATCCTACTTTATTCAATGTGGAACTCATTGAGCTTGGAAATCAGGGCAACCGCCCAAGGCCCACTACAGGAAGGGCCCCCCAAATAAATACACATCTAATTTTCAAACAAAAAAAGATTTACTTTTTTATATTAACTTTTCATATTTTTTTAGTTGAATCTTTAATTAATAACCACAAATTTCAAGTTTGTATTAGAGAAAACATTAAAGGAGTTTCACAGTTTTCTAAATATGTACCAGCAAATAATTTTTTATTTATAAAAAGACATGGAAACTAGGGGAAAAAAAGATTACACTATGTAACTTTCTTTGATTGCACAGAGATTCCTTTCTAATTCTAACTGTTGTTACTACGCGAAAATTTTAGAGAAAATATTTTATTGATAATAAATATGATAGCATAAGATATTATTGAAGAGAAAAATGTAATACATCTTGTAAAAGATTTGTTAAATTTTGTTCAAAAAATGATGTATTTGAAATACTTATAAACAAAGGGCCTTATATATTGTATCGTCTTGAACCTACAAAATGTCAAGACCGACCTATTCGCATTTGTAGTTCTACACCAACACTCAAGCATTTTTCATCTTACATACAAGTTGATGTTTAGTCTCATACTGTCTATTTATATGGCCTAAACAGTGATTATAAGGTTTGAGAAGTCTTCACTTTATAAGTTAATTTTGTGTCTTAAGCCCAAATTCTAAGATCTTATTTTCCATGGAAATTCCATCCCAAATAACATTAGTGGTTCTATGATACATCTAAATTGGCAAGTTGCTCTTAAAATATAAGAGTAAGTCTAGCACAACTGTATAAAACTAATTTGTAAAATTAGAATTACCCCTAACTTATAATTAATTTGTTTGTCTTATCTCTAATCAATATGAGACTTGAATTTTTTTCTAATAGTTGTCTCATTTTAACATGAATAAATAGAAAGGAAATAAGTTGATTCAATAACAAAATATCTGAATAAGACAATTACATTAATTAAGAGAATAATGAAAGATTTGATTATCTGTAAAAGTGCAAAATATGATTGAAAAACTTTAAAACGATTTGGATACTGCAGATAGTGAAAACTATTTTACATATTTCATGAAACGAAAACCAAGCAATAAATTTAACGGTCTATTAAGATGATGAGTCTATGATTGGGGGGTTTATTTTCACCTCAAACAGATCATCTGAGATAAGTCCCATCCCATGTACAAATGGAACAAGAGCATTGCCATCAAACTCTTCATCTGTAACACCATTTCCCACCATGTAACCCTGCATGCAATCACCATCAGATTGCAGCCTCAGGTCTAAAAACAAAAATTGGTCACTTAAAGATAAAAGACCTTCAAATTCAGTTTGGGCGTCACACCAGCTTCAATTCCTGTGGAAGATCAACAAACTGCACCTGATTTCTGATTCTAAGTTTCTAACATTCAACAATTTAAGGACACAACACAACTAACTTGCTACTACCTTTCACTACTTCAGAAGCAAGAGTAGGCACATAAACTCCTGCATATGACTCTCCAGCAATGAAGAACGGATTGGCAAGAAACTCGGGGTATAGTTCAAACCACTGATTTGTTAAAAGAAAATATATATATATATGAATATTGTGAAGAAGAAAAAACCTATTGTTTCAAATATTTTGTCAAAATCTCAAGTTGTTTCCTTTATTACCTTAAGGAGAAAGGAATGTGTATCAGAGGCAGTCTTTTTGTCTCCAGTTATGTAATCAGTTTTATTCTTTGAGTATGAAAACCCCACACCAGCAGGAGAATCCAAATATATAACACTGGAAACCTATAATGCAAATTGGAACAACATACAAATTGATCATAAGAAAACACAACAAGTGATTGTTGAATTACAGACACTGAACCCAAAACATTGTTGGAAATTTTTCACTATCATACATAAATATTTTAAAGTCTGGAGTTTTTTGTTTTTCTGTAAGTTTTATCAAAGGTTTCTTATTTAAGAAAAAACAAGTTGTGCAGGCAAATTTTTCTTGTTAACTTGGCTATAAATTTCTTTTAACTTCACCCAATCAGGAGTTAATTAGTTTTAGTATATATACATTTGTTGTAACTTTCACTGTCTACAAAACTGAGTTCATAGTCCAAATATATCAAATTAGTTTTTACTACCTTTTGTATTTTTGTTTAGTCAATTTGTCTTATAACCTGTCTTTTGTGTTTTCTTTTCAACAAACATAACTAAAACAGAAGAAACCACCCTTCACAATTCATTCCTTTCCATTCTAAATTTCAGACCTTTGACCAGCTGTATGGATTGAGGTGCAGTGAGGGCAGGCCCCCCCTTGTCTTTGCTGCCTCAAAATTGAAGGGACCTGAAACACATGATCTATAAATTAAAACACAGGGTCAACAAATACTTAACACTTTAGTGTGAGCAATTGCAAACCATTTCTGGGTCACAATTCCAAATGTTCATCCTAAAACCTATGAAAAGAAAAAGGGCAGTGTACAAACTGAACAATCAATTACCATGCTCATATATGAATCCATCAAAGCTAGAGCAGCCAGGTCCCCCATTAAGCCACAGAACCACAGGGTCCTCAGCAGGTTTACCCTCTGATACAACAAAATAGTAAAACAAGTTCCTTTCATGACTTTCATCCACTGTCACATACCTTCAACAATCCAAAACAAAGCAATTCTTTATTTAATTTCTCAAAGGGTCAACGTTTCAATAATCAAAAAGACAAATTGTTTAGAGAAAATATAAGTACCCAGCATAGTGCTTGGAGGGTAGTATTCCATTGAAGCCAGGAATCTGTGTCACAGTGGCACTTTCAGGGGCTGATTGTGTTGGCACAAAGCACAGGAAAATGTGAAGCAAGACCAAACACAAACACAAACACACAGTGCAACTTGCCTTGACCATACTGTCACTCATACCAGAGAAAATAAAGAATTTTTTTATCAAAAAGCAACAAACATTGAAGCACAATTTATAGATGAATACTAAATGAAAGAGTGATGGGGTCCAATACACTTTTTAGTGCAAGTTGCAACTCATGTGACACTTTAGTTACCTTAGAAGCCAAGAGAGTAGTTATTGACAAAAAAGAATAGGAGAGAGAAAAAAGATGAGCCAATAGGTAGAAATGCTTAGCTGAACTCTGAAGATAAGGAAAGTGGTGTTTTAAGAATGGTTAACGATGTTGGAGTATAAGGTTGTTCTTGTTCAGCATGTTAGAGAAGTTACGAAGCTGTCCAATTGAACGTTCCATTAAGGCCCAATAAAATAGTCGAGAGAAACGTGCTAAGACACTTCGTTGTTTTGCTAATAAATTGTTTTATCTTGGGGACTGTACTACTATTTTATTTGGTGCATCACATGGTTAACAAGTTTTAATATCGTATCCCTCGATGTCTAATAATAGATGGACAGATATATGCTATTTAATGACGCTTCATTATTAATATTTACTGTATGTAGGTTGAAAGATTTATTACCAACTTTTTAAATTTTATTTTTATTTATTTATTCAAATTTTGAGTTTTTCTTTCTAGATTCTTAAAATATCCGATTTTTTTTTAAGTTATTGTAGTTCATAAAATATATTTTAACGTAAAAATATTTTTAAAAGTAAAATGCACAAAGTCACAAATTTATTAATGTAATATTTACTAAATAAATATATTAATAAACAATGCGTGCGTGTTATTTGAATATATATATATATATATATATATAATTTATATAATTAGATATTTTAAACATGTAAATTATATTATGAATTTATGATAAATAACTTATATTATAACACAAAAATAATTTATTTTATCAATAATTTAAAATATTAAAATTTAATTAATAAATAATTATGTTAAATAAAATAAGAATTAGATAAAAAAATTAAAAAATACCTAAAAATCATCTCATTGAAAAAGTCCCTTAAAACATTTTGCACAAGAAAGATTTCATTGTTTATATATAGAGTTTGATTTGATTCATGTTCCTAATTCTCATAAAAAATACTAATTTAAAATTAGTTTTGTGTGAATATATATATATATATATATATATATATATAGAGGAGGGTTATAATAATACTACTGTAATTTTTACTAAGTATTACATCACTTAATAACTTTATATTAAATATGAATTTTGAAAATCCAACCATTAGATTAAAAGGTCATATATCTTAGATCATATATGCAAAATTTTATATTAATCCAAAATGATTTGATACTTCATTCTTATAAAACAAAATTGAGGTAATATGTACATTTTAAAATATACTAAAATATGATCACTTAAATTACCTTTAAGTTGTTGTTCAGTTTTTAACAAAATTTGATATACACATACAAAATGAAGTTGTTGATAGATGTAATACTTAGTAAAAGTTATACCGATATTATTATAACCCTCCTCATATATATATATATATATATATATGATTCCATTATTTATTTTAGAGAAATAAGGTTTTTTAATTTATTAAAAAAAGTATTATTGAAAAAATACAGTAACTCCTTTAAATTTAATCTTTATCAAATATGATATTTGTACCGGATAGGGAAATACTTTCCAGGACTTTACTAGGAAAGTGGAAAGTTTTACTAGAGTACTTTTGGATAAAATCAAATATCACACATAACTAATTACATATCCAACAATACAAATTGATGGAAAGTGTTCTTACCGGGAATCTGAGGTAGGGATGATCCGCTGGGTAAGATCGGTGAGCCTCCTTCACGGGTACTTTGATGCTCCAAGATGGGGGTGGTACCTGCAAAAGAGACTCTGATGCTAAAGTTAGTGTTTGTGGGAGTGTGAGTCTCGTATAAGTAATGCACGTACCTTTGTGTGGATTAGGGTTTCGTTGGGCCTTGGGCCCGAGATCAGTTTATGACCTATTTGGGTGTAGGGCTGACGTGGCCTAGCGCGTGTTCGAGGTCACTCTGCGCTGAGATGCCGAGCTCGAGCTCGAGCTCGGATAGTATACTAGCCCCCCGAGCTCCGAAGACCGTGGGTCAAGGAGTTAATGCCGAGCTCGGTAGGGGGTCGTGACCCTTCGCGTATGCTTCTATGTCGTACTGCCATGTGTAGATGTCTCGTATATATAGTAGACGTACCTTGGTGATATTAGGGTTTTTATTGTCTACCGGCACATTGACATTGTTAGGATTTTACCTTGTGATTGCGGCGCGGTGACAAGATTGTATTTTGATGACGTGGCCTCTTTGGGATGATGTCCATGTTTCATGGCCAAGCTGAGGAACTCGGCACTCATGAGTTTACTACTTGGTTAGGCTGGTAAACCTTTGACCGAGTCAGCAGATTGGTGAGGGACAAGTTGGCAACTCGGATGACCAGTACACTTGCCCCCAAGCACCGAGTGATGTAAGAGTAAAGGGGCTTTTGAGGAGCTCCCAAATTTGTTGTTTGAAGGTTCAAATTTGACCTTGTTAAGTAGATGTGATCTTCAAGGTTCGAGCTCGACCTTGGTTAAGAAAATGTGATCTCAAGGTTCGGATTCGACCTTGGCATATCAAGGTTCGAACTCGACCTTGGTTAAGAAAATGTAGTCTCAAGGTTCGGACTCGACCTCGGCATAACAAGGTTTGAACTCGACCTTTATGTCAAGGTTTGAACTCGACCTTGGCAACGTAATTTGTATTTGAAGGTTCGAACCCGACTTTAACATCAAGGTTCGAACTCGACCTTGGCAAGTCGTCATGGTTAATGTGCCAATACCGAAAATGTATGGGAATGGAGTTGCTTTGTTGATTTATTTCTGAGGTGTGCCTCGTTAAAACCTTCCTTGGCCAAAAACCCTTTTCTTTAGTGGGAAAAAAGGCTGAGGAGGAAAAAGAGTACATCACCTGAATTTACAAGTTAAGAGAAATAAAATTTGAGGTGGGTGGCATTCCAAGTTCCAAATTTTCCTTTGGAGGGGTCTGTTCTTGCTTCTCCCCGTAATCGCCAAACAAGGTCGCCAACTTTAAATGTTCGTGGCCTGACCTTGGTCTTGCTTTCCTTGTGGTTTGTCGCGAATTGCCTTGCGGAACTCGGCATGCTCCTCCATCTGGATGTACCCAGCAGCGCGAGCTCGGAGCTCGTCCATGTCGGGAGGAGGTTGTCGGCAAAGGCTGTCGACGAAAGGTCCTGGCTTCAACGCCATGAGCATGGAGTGCAGTGCGACCTCGGGATTCAAATTTCTGATCTTAATCGAGGTGGTGGCAAATCGTTCCATGAACGCCCAAAGTGGCTCATCATCGTTCTGTCTGAGACTGGCCAGGGCGGATGACGTGATGTGATGAGGTCAACTCGTTGCATATTGCGCCGTGAATCGCCTGTCCAGAGTGCTGAAACTTTCGATTGACTCAGCGGGGAGCTGGGTGTACCAATTGAGTGCAGCCCCCTTGAGCGAGGTCAGAAAAACCCTGCACAATATAGCATCCTCATTAGTATAGAGGTTTACCTTTGTGGTGTATAGATCGATGTGCTCGTCCGGGTCTGTTGTGCCGTCGTAACGATCGAGGTGGAGAGGCTTTCACCCAAGAGGGAGAGGTGTCTCCATGATACCGTCCACGAAAGGATGATGGCGGAAGGTTGTCTGATTCCCCGTGCCGTGGGCGGGGGCGTTGCTGACGTCATGCGCCGACCTGTTTGTCGGTGCATGGGACCAATGTGTGGCAGGGTTGGGAGTCGGTGCCCTAGCCGCTGTTGGTGGTTGAGAAACCAAGTTCCTTTCGTCCTCTTTCAGGTTGCTCTGTAGAGGGGGTTGATTCGAGTGATGCCAAGGGAGTTGAGCGCGAATACGCTCGTTCTCGGCGTGCAGTGCCGCTAGGTCGGCTTCATTAGCGGTTCGCATTGCCGCTAGGTCAATTTCGTGCTTGGCACGCATACTTTGTAGATCGGCGGCGTGTTGTTGCCGCATCTGTTCGACCTGGTCGATCAGTCTTCTCAATGTGGCTTCGTTATCCATGGTAGTTGTGTGATCTGCGTCGTCTGTTGCGCGTCTGCTATGGCTTCTGGTGAATACCATAAGCGTGACCGATAAGAGCTGTCTTGATCGGCCCCACGGTGGGCGCCAAATGTTCTTACCTGGAATCCGAGGTAGGGATGATCTGCTGGGTAAGATCAGTGAGCCTCCTTCACGGGTACGTTGATGCTCCAAGATGGGGGTGGTACCTGCAAAAGAGACTCCGATGCGAAAGTTAGTGTTTGTGGGAGTGTGAGTCTCGTATAAGTAATGCACGTACCTTTGTGTGGATTAGGGTTTCGTTGGGCCTTGGGCCCGAGATCAGTTTATGACCTATTTGGGTGTAGGGCTGACGTGGCCTAGCGCGTGTTCGAGGTCACTCTGCGTTGAGATGCCGAGCTCGAGCTCGAGCTCGGATAGTACACTAGCCCCCCGAGCTCCGAAGACCGTGGGTCTAGAAGTTAATGCCGAGCTCGGTAGGGGGTAGTGACCCTTCGCGTATGCTTCTATGTCGTACTGCCATGTGTAGATGTCTCGTACATATAGCAGACGTACCTTTGTGATATTAGGGTTTTTATTGTCTACCGGCACATTGACATTGTTAGGATTTTACCTTGTGATTGCGGCGCGGTGACAAAATTGTATTTTGATGACGTGGCCTCTTTGGGCTGATGTCCATGTTTCATGGTCGAGCTGAGGAACTCGGCACTCATGAGTTTACTGCTTGGTTAGACTGGTAAACCTTTGACCGAGTCAGCAGATTGGTGAGGGACAAGTTGGCAACTCGGCTGACCAGTACAGAAAGTAACATCTAATACAATTTATTATTGTCATTAATGCATAATAATGTCTTCATTATGACTTTAAATGAAGATTAACATGTTTTTAGTATATAAAATAAAAGGCTTAATCACAAGGTAGACAAATTACATTTTTTTACACTATTTATATGAATCATTACTCTCCTTTTAACTTGAGAACCGAGTATCGTTACAGAATATTGAAGTGTCATTACAAGTACATTATCCCACCTCAAGGGTTTGAAAGCTTAATGAAGAAAGGAGGGAAGAAGATTCTCACCTTCAAACAAGAGTTTGTATGTACCCAATTTTTTATAAGTAAAATATTAAAGTTCAAAACCCATTTTATTAAATTGAAAAATTGCGTTGCAGGAGTCAAACAAGTTCATTACACTATTACAGATTACAATTCCAAAGACAATCAAAAGAAAAAAATAAAATTGTTGGTCGAGTATATGGCTGTTG